GTCACAGGAGTCACACACTGCTGTACTGTAGTAGTTTAACATTCCCACCAAACACCCCACCAAACACTGCCCACAGGACATCCTCCTTGTCTACACCTACAGCCCGTGTATAGCCTGTGTCTGTGTGTATGATCCTGAGGAACTCGCCACGTCCACTGATGAGTAGGACTCTGTTGTTGTTCCAGTCCCCTATGATAATGTTCCCCACACTGTCATACACCACACCATAGGGGTTAAATGGTTTAGCTCCTTTATGTGATGATTGTTTATATGTACTGGGGATGTCACCTCTATATACAAACAGTTCCTTGAAATCAGTGTCCATAACAAGAACATGTGCTATCCCATCACCACCATCATCCTTAATATTCCAATCAACCACTGCGACATTGTGAGTGACAGGACACTCTGAGATCCTCCCTGGTGTACACACCAATGGCTTCCCAGTCCCTGTAACACTTGTAGTGAGCACCATTTGACCTTGTGTGGTAAATTTGGAGATGTTGTTGGTCATCCCCACAATGACATGGTTACAGACAGTAACACAGATACACCTGGGTCTCACCTTGGTGCTGAATCTGTGTTTTAGCTGTCCTGATACCAGCTCCATGATGTTGTTTTCTCTGTCACAGACCCACAGTGTGTGTGTTGTTGGTGACAGACTTATGTCGTTGATGTTAGTTTTGTGTTTAACCTCCTGTATTACTTTCCCCTTCCTGTCCAGGAGAGTTAATGTGTTACTGTAACCACTAGTCCACACCTGACCATCAGTGGTGGGGCATATAGAATAAATACCAACAGGAGACCACCACTCCTCCAACACTTTGGTCTGTGACAGTAGTTTGTACATAGTCACTGCCTTCTTTCCTTTTGGTTCTGTCTGTTGTGATGTAGAGGATGGTTTCTGACCACCAGATGCCCCGACTGACCCGTCCTGGTCAGTTGAAGCCTGACCTTGACCTAAGGCGTCAATGTTCCCTAAGGCCAGTTCTAGGTGATGTTGAGGGGTTTTGTTTGGAGTGAAACTGGCAGTACCCAGGACAGGTTTTACAGGGACACTGATTGGGAAATGAATTTCACATCCTGTGTCGTAGATTTCTATGTGAGAGCCATGTTGGAGTGCTGTTTTGCATTCCTGAATTTGTTGTCGGAGTTGCTCGTTATACATTTCAAGGTCCTGTTTGTATTTCTGTATAAGCTTGGTATTATCCTCCTCCATTTTGTGGTAAAGAGAGAGTGTCTGTGCTGTCAGGAAGTCGAGGTCTTGTTTTAATTTGTCTGTTTGCTTTTTCAACTTATTTGAAAGATCCTCAAAATTGCTCGTATTGTCTCTAAGAAGTGTATCAGAAGATGTGATGTATTCCCTAAGTTGTACCAGGTCATTTTGTTCAGTTCTGTCAATAAAGTTTTGAATGTCTTGTTTTTTCTGTGTAGTA